TTTCCATTTCCTGCCATCTATTGCCCATGGCAACCTTTAGTTGTGTATGTATTCAGTGTCTTTCTGCCTGTCTTTTCTTTTTGATACCGAGGACCTCTTAGCTGCAAGGCTATGCCACAGGGACCTTTGCAAAGCGAGACAGCAAGACACATTGAGACTCGCTCTTACACCGTAATTAGTCGTCAAGTTTCTCCTAATTAAACGGGACCCTGTTAGGGTGTGAGAATGAGCCGAAAAGGAGAAACACTAAGGACAGAGTTCTCTTTGGAGTTGTTTTTGGATTGATATCTATTCCTATCCCTGTCTCATTCCTTTCTGTTTTGTCCTGAAGTATTTCCAACAGCTGGATTTTTCAGAATAAATATTTCATCTCCCCTCCCTCAGCCCGCACGGAGTAATCTGTATGACACCCGGCAATGTACACTGTCATCTTCACGCTGATTGCTCCGCCGTGTGAAATAGATCTGTCCGTACAGGGAGTCCTTTGATGCGGGGCGCGAGGCAATCATAAGCCCATTTTCAAACTCTCTGTTCTCACACAGGCGCCCTCTTGTGCCTTTTCTGCCAAGCCTTCAAAACTTTTTTTTACCTCCTCGTCTTTATCGAGAACCTTCAAATTGGAAGGATGTGGACCCAGACACTTTCTTTTAGCTTTCAAAATGCAGGGAATGTTTATTAGATTAAGTTAATGGAGAAGTAAGCAGCGCCTGACATCTACCTGCACACATAATTCCATTGTTAGGGAGATAATTAGAAACCTCAGAGGCTAAATAAAGGTCCCTGCATTGACGGGTTGATGTGTGAGGGTTTATTTAGAGCACAGAGCGTCTTCTGTAATCAGAAGTTCCCTCTATCATCGTTCTGTCCTTTCCTCACGTCTCTGCTAATGTCTTCAATTTTTCCTCCTGTCTCCCCTACTCTCCTCTCCACTGCTCTCTTTGGCAGTGCGTTTGGCCTGTGACGGCCCAGAGGCAGCCATGCTGTCTTCTCCACTCAATCTGCTGTTTCCCTTTCTCCCAGGCCCTGACCCTGCTATCCTCAGCACACACACTCTCACTCCTTGTCTCTTCCTCCTTTATCCCTCGTCCTTGCATCATCCCTCCTTCCCTGACCCCTATCTGCTGTCCAGATGACTGCAATGTATGTCAAAGACACAAAAACTACATATTTTCCTTTCTCTGTCTTTTTTCTCTGCCACCGTCCTCTCCTCCAAAAGCCTCAGCTGTTGGGGTTGAATCTGCTGGCCGGAGAGTAGAGGAGAGGGCAAAAGGTTGAGGAGCTTCAGTCTGTTGCAGCGGTTCATAGCTTTATATAGAAAGAGAGAAGAGAAGTGATGGTGCGGGGGACGAAATTGAAATATGGTGACGTAGATGCATGCGGACTAGCAAAGAGGACTTGCTGACATGAAGTGGAAAACACATACTACAGTACTGTGACACAAACAAACGTACTAAACCCTAATTACCACGGAATGCCCACGCAACAGACATTTCCGCGGATAGGGCCAGAAGCAAAGACAGTCTAACACTCCATTTTTCCCACTGCAACATCTTAGCGAGTGCTAAAGACGCCGTATCAAATTGCTACTGTACCCCGACAGTGGAGGTTCTTTTGAAATATCCCAGAGTGTAAGCCAGTCAGCTGATAGAGTGGCTGACTAAAGCCCGGCTAAGAAAAGCTGCGGCTCAACCACTGCAGCCACTGGCCCACTTTCTTCAAGAGAAGTCACACAGTATGAGGCGCAAATATCTCGTACAGTAGAGTCTCTGGGTAATCATTAATTTGACAGCGCACAACTTTTGTCCATATGGAATTACATCTCAGGAGAATGTCCTTTATCTCCATTCTGCCCCTCTTACTCATCTGCCAATCACTCCCTGATCCACCACCGCCACCTTTCCCTCGCGCCTCTGGAAGCTTCTTTTGAGAAAATGCCAAAAAAAAGGGCTAATGGCTTGCGTTGCAGGCCATTGTGAGCATTGGCTGAAAGGCCCTTCTCCTCCAGCGATGGAAAAGGCGGGCACCGAGAATATGCTCTTGTTCCCCGAACAACAAGGCCCAAGCCCCGGGGACGTAACCTGGTATGGAGGGCCTCCTTGTTGGGCGCTCTGTGTAGCGGGGAGGCTTTTTAACACAGTGACCCACTTGTATTGTGTTATGTTATGGTAGATAGTGTGGGCTCGCGGGATGTTTGTGAATATGTAACAAAAGCCTGCTACAGTGCTGCGTGTGCTGTAAGGGCTTTTCTTTGAAGATATTTTCTACGTCCTGATTTCTGAATTGGGTCTTGAAAGGGCCTTTGGATATGTTCGGAAGCACTGAGCGTGTCTTCTCCATAGAAAAACTTGATCACAATGTATTTTTCATCAGCCATTTTGTAATGCATCTGCTTTTATTCTGCCGAATTAGATTCTAAGATTTAAAGTTAAGTTTGAGGTTCATACGGAATATAGTTCCTTTCCATTTTTTGGAGAATAAACAAGAATATGATACAGTGGAGATACATTCAGCATTACCTCCAATAGGTCAAGGTTGGAAGAAAAGTCTCTATTTGTCCAGCGTTTAAGGACATGTGGGTTTGAGTGCTTTTAAAGCATTGATGGCCTTACCTCAGAGGGGGGTGACACTTTTAAAGACATAAGAAGAGAAAAAAACACAGCATTTTTGCTTTGATAGAGCTCAGTGGGAAATTTCTTCATTTTTAGCAAGCCTGCTGAGTCAATGGACCATGGCTAGGAAATAATCAGCCTCCTTTCAGCGCGCACAACACAGAGTGCCGCCTAACTACCTCAGCAGCTGAGCGCACAAGCCGGTAAGGACGTGATTCCCATCGTTGGCCACTTACCAAAGGAAGCTGGAGGAAGGAAGAGGTCCATCCTGCCCATTTCTTCCCCACCAGTTTGTCTAAATGCGACTGGGGTGAGCAGGCAATTGGATGAGCATTCAGGAGAAGGGTGGCCTCGTGAGAGCCGCCGTGCTTTGTGGGTAGTCTGATGGCTCAATTGTAGGTGTAAATGAGAAAGACAATCAGGACCTGAGATCCCCTTGTCTCTTTGATGGCTGTGTTTATCAAGCTGTGACGGGAATAAGGAGGGAGAGGGAGACAAATACATCTCTTCTTCCCATGCCATGATCCATAGCAACTTTTGTCATTTTCACCACATCAGCTGGCATGTTTTCCATTTGTGATTACCAACGCAGTTTCGTTTTATTTTCCCGTCTGTCGTCTCATTTATTTGGCTTTTTACATTCCATTAAACAGAACTATTCAGTTGTTTGGGCTCACTAATGACAAAAAGTTATTTGATTTTTCTATCAAGTGGCAGCTCCCTCCTGAGGCTTTGGCTATATATTGACTGGCAATCGTTTGCTGATGCTTTACAAAAGGTTATTTGTGACATGAAAATGGATTCTAATAGGTATTTAGCAGGAATATTATTTCTGGCAGCACAGGAATGGCACTCTCGAAATGATATTGAATGTTTTGCTGAAAGGCATTCATAGTGAACGTTATTCATTAGTTGATTAAACACTACAGTCGGCAGGCATTCTGTTATTCCTATCTTCTCTTTCTTCGCTCTCCTCGTGTTGGCTGCATTGTGTCTGCTCTGCATAACATTGTTGTGGTGCTTGGCTACAGTTAAGTTCTGCTCAAAGTTTCAAAAGAGTTTCAAAAGAGTATACATATATATATATATAAAAATATATCTTTATCCCATAAGTGCTCAACATAAAGAGTGATCTCTGTTCTATTTTTCTTTTACAGGAGAAAAAGAGTATTAAAAGTAAGCCATGGTCCAAACCCTTTTAATTTGTTTTAAAAATGGGCAAAGGCATGCTTGGCTTGGTTTGCACTCACCCTCGCTTTTGCTTGATTTTGCTTTTCCATACTTTGCATCAAGATCATAAATATATTACATCTAACATAGCATCTCTATGACATTAGCTTCTTCTTATATTCAAACATTGGTACAGAAACCTTCCTACCTTCCCTCTGTCTAGCTTTTCGTCTTATATTAAGCTACTCAGCTTACTGTATTTAGGATATTTATTCCACACATTGCACTGAAACAAACCCTTGCATCGTCCGACAGAAGTCATTGACAGTTGGGTATCAACTTGTTGTCCTTGTGTAACATCGTAAGCACATCATTTGCTTTCCACAATAATACAGTAGCCTTAGTTAATCTGGGGCCAGCTCCAAGCTAGGTAATTGGTTAAGACCCTTATTAGTGGATTTAAGAGGATATCAGGGCGCTTTAGCTAAACAAAGCTATTAAGCTGCTTAGATCAGGATGTGATTGCCGTCTGTCAATCACATGATAAGAAAATAGGGTTTTGTTGGTGCTCTCAACTCAAACATTCTCACCCATACACATGACACACACACACACACACACACACAGAGCAGGCCTGATTGTGCTTTTTAAATCTTGGATCAGGGCAGACTGAGAAATACAAACTGACCTCCTTCCCTTCTCTCTCCATTTCAACCCCCCTCCCCTTTCCTTCCCCTCTTAGCACAAACACGTTTTGAAGCATGACATTATTTCAACTCTGATTCACGCCACTGTTTTTTTTAGTTTGAGGCTGTTGTCGTAGCCAGTGGAGTCTTCTTTTCATTGGTGTTTTACGTTACCGTTTCTGTCATGTGGTTTGGGTTCTGCATGAAATGCAATTTTATCCGTAGAAGCTTCAATCTCTCCACGAGTGATAAAATTCAGAACTTGCATTGGCTGTGACAATAGGTGCCTGGCAACCATCTTGAGCAGTTTTTGTTGTTTTTTGCCTTCTCCATTAACATTTAGATGCGCTGATGATGTAATTAAGCAGAAAAATACAAATTCACGCATCTAATGAAGTATTCATAATAGCCACATACCACACAAAACACCAAGTGCTAGGATTTGTATTAACTCATGTTAGTTTATATTAAAATATCCAACTTTAGTGAAAAACACAGTATCATTTACTTTTGTTTCTCCTTCTGCTTCCTCTAGACTCCCGGCCTTTGCCTGACGTAGCCATGACTGGCAAGTGCACCCGGGAATGTGACGAGTACGGCCACTCCGACTCCTGCTGGATGCCTGTGCGCACGTCGCCAGAGCGACGGCCATCCAAGTCAACCACTACCCCTCAACAACCAAAGCTTTCCACTTTCATGAGCGGCAACGGCAGCAGCAGCAGCAGCAGCAGCAGCTCTGAGCAGCCCGACAGCCAAGAGACCCTCGCCATGGCCGCCATGGCTAATGGAGACCCCACCGCTGCTCACATGATGGGCGACCGCAATCGTAACCTGCTCAACAAGAAGATGGCTTCCTCCTCCTCCTCCTCCTACGAGGTCTTCGGCTCGCCTTCCTACGGCTCGCCAGAAAATGGGGAGGAAGTGCTGCGCCACCCCACTGAGGAGATCCCTCTGGCACCTACCGGGGAGTACAAGCCCACTTCCTGTGGCACTCTGACGAGACGGGAGGTGTACCTGTGAGTTTGCTTTGCCACAACCTATGGCAATGAACACTAAGAATAGTTGCTTACCCACCACCGTTACAGCTCTAGAAGTTTTTAGCCACCCTTGCTCTCCAAGGTAAGACTAAACTTTCTCCAAAGACTTTACGACAGCTCCTTAATTGAGTGGATATAAAAACACAATTTTTGCTAAGTGCTAATTCCGGCCATGACCTGGAGGAAAGGAGGAGGAGGAACAACTGTTGAGGGGCATTGACTGGACTTGGGATGAGGCTATTCTACTGGCGAGTCGGGCTCCTGGGACATGACCTGCTGCTTGACAGTCAATCTGTACAATAATCAACTCATTTTACATATACAGTACATGCATGCATTACCTGCCCCATTTCCTGAAGATGACACTGTACAAAAGAGACAATTTCTTTTTTTGGTTTGTGTTTTTTCTAGAAACAAAGCTGTACATGTGGACTATTTTGACTTCAAAGTGTGTGGTTATGCCTTTTTTTTATTTCAGAACTCTGCTATGGCCGTGATGTTCAGTGGCTGCAACAATATATTGGACATTATGGTCTCTATCATACTGAGCTTGCTATGGATTCTGTCACCTTGACTGTTTGTGATAAATGTGGCTCTATAGCAGACCAAAACGTAACCGTGTTCCAATCTAATGAGGACGAGAAGCTTTAAATACTCTGCCCAGATTACAACACTTGTGTCAGTCCTTTATTGAAACATATTTTGGACATACATGGGAGCCAATGGAATTTGCTGCAACAACACCATGTTACAGACTTCAACAACACTGGTATAATGGACATATGATGACTGATTCTAAGCTACCAGTGTGTACGCCCTTGAAAAGTCACTCATTGTACATAAACATTGGACCACAGCAACAACGCTAACTGCTCTCATTCCCTTTTGTCTTGCTACCTTTCCTCAGTCTCTCGTTCTTTGTCTTTGATCGGCAAGGTTGAGACCAAAACCTTATTACGAGATGCAACATCTTACATCTATTGGCTGGAAAAGCATGTGTGTACATGGTCATGCCTACTGTTTATATCAAGTTGTAATACTTACCCTGTTTTTCCCAAACCACATATGCAGACACACCGAAGCGATTCATATAACAGGCCAGTGGCGCTGCCGGATTGATAATTCCTGGGTAAACACAGTGTGTCGCATGCCGAGATAACCATTCTGGAGGTGCATTTGAAATTGTACGTGTGTATGGCCCCGATATGCAGTATATAGTGTGTGTGTGTAGGCTATATTTAGTGTATACTGTAGATGTACACCGATAATAGGCTTAGGAGGGCGTAGACATGGCCGAGCTGATCGTGAAACAGCTGCTGCAAGGACAGCTTTTTACTGTTATTTCTTTCTTGTTGTGTGATAGACTGAGCAATAAATATCATAATGTACACGTGACCAACAAGCATCAACTTCTTTTTCACTTCTCCTCAAGCCTTCAAGGTGACACACACACGGCTGTCCAAGAGTCCTTTTTAAGCACTAGTAGATGTTGCTTTCCATAGTACATGGTGATGGCATCTTTGAGCACGAATGTAAGAATCAGCTCAATGGCGAACAATCAAACGTCTGTACGCGCAGTTGGCAAGGTTTTAAGATTGCAGAATGGTGTCAAAAATGTTGTCAAAGTCAAACCAAAGCTTCTCAAACAGGATGAAGCACCCCC